AGACGGCGAGTAGGTCTGATATAAGCAAACATTGTTATTTTTCTTTACATCTCCCGAGTCGGCTCACAAAGCCACGTCTTCTGTGTTTTTCTCACACTTCTCTCTTTAATACAGTGTTCTGCTTCCAGGCATTTGTCGCTTGTGAAATAGTTTCATAGCCAGAAAAAGGGGGTACGGATGATTGCCTGTTTTACTACGGCAGTTAAATCCACATTCTTCTCATTCCATGCTGCATCACTGCTGTGGTGTTATTCATGTTATTATTTTGGTCCTGTCCTGATTGACAGCCCCAGAAGCCAGTAATTCAATCATGCAAATCCACAGCGTAGAGAACATTACCATAAAAACACACACATGTACCATTGGTTTGCGGCCATTTTGTTCACACAGCTCGGCATTTTGGACTAATAATAATAATGAAAACGTTTAAAAACCAAGGGGCACTCTAATGTCTCAGGAAGAAGGTCCTGGCGGCACAGTGGCTGAGTGGTTAGCACTCTCGCCTCTCAGCAAGAAGGTCCTGGGTTCAAATCCGGGTCGGACCAGGGCCTTTCTGAGTGGAGTTTGCATGTTCTCCCTGTGTCTGCGTAGGTTTCCTCCGGGTACTCCGGTTTCCCCTACCACTAAAAATATGTACAATAGTTCTGGCATGCGCCTCCTGTTCTGGCCCCTCCCATCTCTATGTGGAGTGAGAGACAAATGCCCAAAAAAATAATAACAATTGTAAACCGCTTTGTGACCCTTGTCTGTGAAAGGCGGTATATAAATAAACATTACTTACTTACTTACTTACTGGGTTCAAATCCCGAACGGTTTTATTTTAATTAGTATAGCTATTCTTGTGCCGTGTGCTCCTCTTTCCTACTGTTCTATGTCTTGCGATGCAACACTGAAATTTCCCCGCTGTGGGACGAAAAAAGGATTTCTTAATAACATTTTAAGAAATCACAAAGAAATGAAATGTTGGGTTACAAACGCAATAATGATCGGTCCAAAAGGACGGCACGGTGGCTGAGTGGATAGCACTCTCAGCAAGAAGGTCCTGGGTTCGAATCCCGGTCGGAACAGGGCCTTTCTGAGTGGAGTTTGCATGTTCTCCCCGTGTCTGTGTAGGTTTCCTCCAGGTGCTCCGGTTTCCCCTACCACTAAAAACATGTACAATAGGTCTGAATGTAAATGAGAGAGTGAATGGATGGTGTTGGGTCAGAGGCTTTGATGGTCCAGTGTGTTCTGGACTTGCTTCTGTCATCACCGTGTGTGGAATGATTGGAACAATATCTGACTCTGAACATTGGAAAGAGCTTTGGGTCTGTACCTTGGTCTGTGAAATGTGCTATATAAATAAACATTACTTAAATACTTACTTACTACTATCGTGGCGATCAATGTCCAAACATAGATCCTTCTAAAACAGAAAGGAACGACTCAAACTAAACAGTGCGGAAAGAAAGAGAGAAACCTCGGGTCGGACAACCTGAGAGAGGGATCAGTTTCTCTTACGTGGGATCAATAATGCGTCTGTCTGACTGTCTCTCTCTCTCTCTCTGACTGTCTCTCTCTCTCTCTGACTGTCTCTCTCTCTCTCTGACTGTCTCTCTCTCTCTCTGACTGACTCTCTCTCTCTCTGACTGACTCTCTCTCTGTCTGTCTTTCTCCCTGCCTCTATCTTTCTCTTTCTCACTCTATCTGTCTCTCTCTGTTTGTTTGTCTCTCTCTCTCTAGCTGCCTGTCTCTCTCTCTCTCTCTGCCTCTCTCTTTCTATCTGTCTCTCTCTGTTTGTCTCTCTCTCTCTCACTGCCTGTCTCTCTCTCTCTCTCTCTGCCTCT